GGAAGGAAATTGAGTATGTAAGCTTGCAAAAATGTGATCAGGGTGGGGAGAACGGGCAAGATATCAAATTAAGTGTAAAACCATGAAGGCCAAAGGAAACTACAACAGCCAGAAATTAAGGCAGCAAAAAGTAAGGCCAGAAATATGAGCAAGTTGCATGTTCAGTAGACGAATGAATAAAAGAAAAATCCTCAAGCAAGACAAGTGCCAATAAAGTCACTGTTCAACAGGCTGATGAACAGGCAGCTTTTCATCGTGTCAATATACACCATCTTTCGCATTAGGCAAAGGCGCCGTAACAATCAGCACCGTGTGAACACAAGCACCTATGCTGGATTAGATCCTCTAGCTCATTAGCATGTATGCCAGCAGTTGTGCCAGTTATTTCAGGGGAAGTATTATCATGATTAGATCTGCCCAGAAAAGGCTTCACAACCATCCTGAAGAGGTGCCCTGTGCACTGAAACCCACGGGTTGTGCCTTTCCTAGCATTTCCTTGGTATCAAATGTAACACTTCCATCCCAGTGCAGTCTCACTGCTGCTTGATAGTCAGCAGGTTCCTGGACATAAAGGAACCTTTAAGAAAACTGAGTACTGTTAAAGAGCTGTACATTAACATTTGACATATGACTTTAAAGCATCTTATTAACACTCTCCCTCTTGACTAAGTTTGAATTAATTCATATTCATGTCAGCTCCTTTCTAATGGCTTAGTTCAAACCAGCCAGGCAGAATCATTTCAGCTTGAATCACTACTAATCACAACTATTAATAAGCAATCTCAGTTGCCCTATGGTCTCTTCCTCTTAGGTCACCGAGGCATCTATTTCCAGTTGCGTAAGTAGTTTTCACACCAAATTTGAGCGTGTCGTTACTGACATGAGTACACTTTAAAAATATACCCCTAAAAAAGAAGATACCCCCATCAGACTAGTTTTAGTGTAGGTTTCCTCAGTTTCTGATAAGCATAGCTGCACTGCAGCTCTTCGTGCTTTGGCTTGAGGAGAATTTTGTCCTTTCTCATGCAATTCAGGACTGTACACATGAAAAACAATTAAAAGGGAATTCTTCCGCAAACACTTTCTGTTGTACGTGTGGCAAATTACCACAATGAAGTCACACATCACTGCTTTCTTTATTCCTTTCAGGTTATGTCTTCACAGCATAGAGAAGCAGTACACTTTAAAACCAAGGAAAATCCTAGACTATATTTAAGGCAAATGAAGTAATTTATAGTTTGTTCCCAAAATTCTGAATATGTCCTATTAACATACAGCAAAGACTGTTGCATGACTTGAGATGCTCTAGAAAGCATACACTAATTCTACCCCATTTCATTTTGGATCTTCATCCCAGCTCAGGTAACCTCAGTGAAAATCTTTACTCTTACTTTCCACTCCAAATCTAGCTATGTCCACCTTAAAATCTGAATTCCAGAGGTGAGCCCAGGCTTGAAACACAGGGGCTTTATTTTCATACAAAACTTTCCTTTATGCAGTTCAAATTGTTTCATTATGTCCTTGAATTAAGATAAAAATTTAAAAAGTCTCAGAATCAGACTGGGAAGATGCTCTGGTTTCCAGTCCAGCCTCATGCCCATAGCAGAACTACCAGCAGCACGGCATCAGTCACAGCTTTGTGGTCTTCCAAGCCTCCAAGAATGGAGGTTTCACAATGTGCCCAGGCAACATTTCCCAGGGTTTCTATCTTCTGTTGAGGGAAAAACCAACCCCAGCCCAAAAAAAACCCAGCCAAACTTTCCCTTGTGTCCAACCTGAACCTCCTAAGATGTGGTTTGCAACCACTGCCCCTTGTTACACTGACACCACCAAGAACAGTGTGCTTTCAGGTTGTTGGAAGTACTTAACTACTTTCCACCTACATTTCAGACAGATTGCCCTCATCCACCTCCCCCAGCTCAACAAGCTCTAGAACACTGGCAAACTTGGCAGGTTTTTGACCTCTCAGTTTTTCTATCTCCCTTCTGACCTAGAGGCTCAAAACTGTAGAAATGCCTCAGCTCACAGAACCACGGGTCATGTCAGAGTATTAGATACTGCACTACTTCATAATCCAACTTTACCTGCAAAACTTAGTTGAAAAACACAACTTTTCTCTTCTTGTCTGGTCAGAGAGTTTTGCTCTTTCACCAGCACCCCACAGCAACTGTTGACTGAACTGCAGACTTGCAGCTCTCTCAAAGGAAAGGGCCATTAAGATACCAGGTTCTTTCAGATGTTAAGCCTCATTTAAGGTTTAAGCAATGCTTTAAGTGTTCTGCATGCATTACAAAAACATCGTTATTTTAATTGCAAATTTCCTTTCCCTTTTAATACCAAGAAACACCGCATAACAATTAGTTATTCACAACTAATTCTGCAACAATCACTGCAAAATTCACACTCTGCAGGACAGCCACAGCTCTGCCACACTGCTCTGAGGATGCGCAAGCCACAGCCATGCTTCTCAGCCGAGCTCAAGGGACAGAAGAGAGCACTCCTTACTCAACCAGAACAGCGAGGACTGCATGGAAGAGAGGCAAGGCAGAGGGTTAAACGTTGTGGAGGGCTAGCCTGAAGACTTCATTGGTGCACACCCAGGCACCTTGAAAACTTTTCAACAAAAAGGTTTGGTGGAAGCCTAGAACCTGGTCATCATCTGCCTGAGCATGACAGGAGAAATACATTACTAAGTGAAGCACACTGAAAATTCTGGGTGACATACTGGATGAACACTGGCAAAGGAGCAACACACCAAACGAAACTCACTCCTGAAGGCTGAAACTGATGCTTATTCTTCCTAGCTGAAGCAAGCAAGCATGAACCAGACAACAACAGCAATAAAAAAAGTGACAGAATTAGAATAAGTGGGGGTATATTTATTATACCTCTACAAAAGGACTAAAAAACCATTACTGCTTATCCCAACATCCATTAAAGAGGATCTCTCGTATGTTTACTTGTAAATACGCTTTTCAATGAAAGCCATTTCTGTACTGCTTCTGTCAGCGAGTTAGATCCTCACTAGTGACATTCACTCTACTTAGATGCTCTATTGCTCTCCAACATCTTCTCCAAGAAGCTGTTGTGTCCCATCCCCTCACTGCAAATGATTGTTCTGCTGCAAAAGATGTTGCTTTTTTTTTTTATTTACAGTTCACATCGGCATTACCATGCTAAGCTGCAGACTGGTGCAGCACAGAGGCAGCTACGCACCCTGACCTCGTCACAGGGTAGCAACGGTTTCAACCAATCCCAGTCAAACCCCCTCCAGCAGGTGAGGCCAAAGGCTTAAATAAACCTCCAGGTTTGGACTGTTTTAAGGCATAATACTCTGGTAAAAGACATACAGAGTTTGACAGTAATAATCCTTGGCCCCATTGTTTCTTCAGAACTATTCTTGTACAGTTAAGAAGAGAGCTGAGGCTTTGTGACAACTCCGTAGCAGTTCACCCCACATTACATGCAGTGAGAGTAGAAGGCTTTTCTGCTCTGGTTGTTGTTTGTTTTGGGTTTTTTTCTCCTAAAATAAAAAAAAAAAATCAAAATATAAAGGTTTAAGGAAGAAATACAAGATGTGCCCAGCTCACTTAAGAATGAGTTTCCACTGAATTGCTGCAACTAGCAACTCAAGGAACTAAGGCCTCAGAAAATCCATTTAACTATCATGCCAAGAATGACTTCTGGGCAAAGGTATGTTACAGGTGTTATTATTTTCTTGGATTACTCTTAAAAGCATTATACACGCTCCTTCATTACATAAAACAATGTGGGTTTTGAAAAACCACAGAGGTTCAAAAGCATACGCAACTAATTGCACCAGGCTTTGAAGAATTTCATGCTCAGTCCCATGAAAAGGATAACTGAATAATAAGCAGGAAGCATGGCTTCTCCCTTCAACCCTGCTACTGAGGGTCTTGCAATTTTCTGCAAATTTCTCTACAGCTTTCCTCAAGACCAACAGATGTGAGCTGTGCAGGACAGCCACACCGTTAAAAAGGCAAGCTTTAAACAAAACTTCAGTGTGCCGCTCCATGCTTGTGTGTTGAAGCGTACCCTGTTCAGCTGGAGCTAGAGATGAGGCGCTTGTTAAAATGCACTAACTGCACCCAGTTCTCCTCAAGAGAATACAGTAACTGAGGAAGGCACTGAGATGTACTAAAATGGCTGTCAACACATATGTATCAGCACAAGAAAAAGTATTCTCTACATACATCGACCAGGTTACCGCACTGGCAGAAATGGTTACTACGTACATCATGATGCAGACCATTACTGATCACTTCATTTGTCCACCTGTATAAATATCACACAAGGCAGAAGCAAGTAGTCAAGTTCTAAGTTGACTTTGACCTTCTGGACACTTTGTCAGTGAGGAACAGCATTCTCAGGCATTAAAATATGTTTTATAAATCTAAGATTTGAGACACATACACATGAAGAGTGGGAAAATGTTGCCTCTCACTAAAAATTCACAGTAAGTTGGATTTGATCATGCCAGTAGGCAGACTTTAATCCATTATGTTTTTTCCAAGTTCCTAGACACACTATCACATGATCCCTGAATTATTCAGAGGATAAAAAGAGCCCAGTAAGAAATACAACTCCAAGCTATGGTATTTACAGAAGGCTCCTGGACTGCATCTACAACCCTAACAACCACACTAACAGATGAGAAAAGCCAAAAGCTTCACAGAATCTTTAAGAACTTGGTGTCTTGACACAGAATTAAACACAATCACTGTTGCAAGCTGTGATCTGTTTCATGATTATGCAATAACCTTAAAAACATGACTGCGCAAAACCAGGTGCAGAGGTGACCGGCCCCAGACATTGAGTCAAAAAGTCTTGGTCGTAGCATTGAGCTTTGTGCACACCCAAGAGTAAGACAGATGAGATCAGCACATCTGACTTCAAACTTGCCCTGCCATTCAGTGCTTCCTGTGGCCACATGTGGCCATCTTTCCTCAACAAAGTGTGTGCAGGCAGGACTGAGCAACAAGTAAGCTGGAATCCACTTGCAGGTAGGAAGCAGGAGCAACTCTAATGAGAGCCAAAGCTTTCTATGTTAGGCTTAGAAGTAGATACAGTACACTGGGAACTGCTCTGCTCAACTGCCCAGCCCAAAACAACGAAGGAGCATAGCTAAGCAAGCAGGTTCAAATTTTCAGTCCTATGTTTGCTTAGTTAACAGTACAGGCAGTGGAAGTTAGATTGCTTTGATATCAGAGGTGCCATTCAGAGTTAACAGGAAACGGAAACCTGAACAGCTGTTTTCAAAGAAACTGGGTTCAAGCAGCTCTCAAGACTGGATGGCTTTAGAGGCCTGACTTGACAGTATGGCTGGACCAAACCTCGACAAAACTAACCCTGATGATTTTAACTATTGCTATGTAGTGTCACACTTTTTAAACAAACACTGCCCACTGTAAGTCAGTTCTGACTACAGCTGACTTTACACAAGGGATATTTTTTGCAGATTCCAGGACAACTTCTTTCATTGACAAGCCACGTAATTAGCTTACAAGTCTGTGGCCCCGGTATATTTAGCTCCAGCATTTCCTCAAAAGAACAGGAGACTGGGTAAGTTTACGCAGTTCAGTAGAATAATGTAAACAGCAATTTAATCATACTACAGCCTGAAAAATAATCTGATTTCTTAACAAGAAGAAGCTGTTTCAACAGTGAGCCCAGAGTCAATACTCCCATTGCTGAACCAGTTTTGACTACAGAGGTACTGAACTGCAATAACACCAGGGCTGTATTCTCGTGTTCTGTGACAGCAAAGAAAAAACATGGTCTTACTGAAGAGTTGCCAGAGAACAAAAAAAATCTGCTAAATCACAGCTCAATACATATGTTACATCAAAGAGCACATTAAACTAGATGTGCTTCTGTTGCCCATGAACACTGTAATGATGCTTTTGAGTGCAACCAAGGAAGGGAAGTATTGATGCTTCTAGAGTGCACGTGGTATTTGTATGCACAGTAAAACCCATGGTACTTTGCTTGGCAGGAACATGTGACTGTCAAATTACAAGTATTTTACCTAGTGCTAGGTATCTGAAGGCACGAACAGTGTCTTGACAGTCTTGAACAGTAGAATAATGACATCCCAATGCAAGCTTACCAGTGTTCCCTCCCCACTCAAGAGGGCATTTTGATATTTTCAGATATCAGATGATTTAGAATCCTGCAAAAATCTAAGACATAAGCATTTGTTAACCGGTAAGGAAAAGGGTTTACCTTAAGCTGTCCCACTACCATACTGAGTATACAGCTGTCAGGTGTAGGTTGGTGATCTTGTGCTGTGATGCTGTGTTGTATTTTTTGGAAAGGGAGGCTCTGCATTGAAAAGAAAGCAAAATAAGGAAAGGTACAGTCATTACATTATTTAACTTCCAAAAATTGAACAAATCCAACCTTATGAAGCATTACACTATTTTGATAGTACTGCATGGAGAGTTGTTGCAAGTTTGACACTACTCAGGTTGGGCTGATGGTAACAGTTGTGTCTTTCAAGCACCAAGACATAAAATATGTCACTATATATGTTAAGCAGTACCTTTTCTAGTCTAATTACGCTGACTGACGTAGATGAACTGAAATTCATCTACAAGCTGAAAATTTGTATGATGAAGGCACAAAGCTTCTCTGCTCTGAACAGTGTTAGAGGATTGTTTTACCAGACAACTCCAAATTTTTGATTACGGGATGGCCTATATGACACCAGGCTTGCTGGCATCAGATGGGATTCACCTTTCTCAAAGTGGGAAGCGGGTCTTTGCTCAGGAGCTTGCGGAGCTCATTGACAGAGCTTTAAACTAGACTTGAAAGGGGATGGGAATAACATCAGGCCTGCCCATGACAAACTGTGGGATGACATGCCACGGTTAGAGGAACAGGGTGCTAGTGAGGGCCCTCAGCCTGTCACTGAGGCGTGCTGGGTACACTGCAGCATGCTTGAAGTCTTAAGAGAGGTGAGCCAGGGGCTCCTGAGGTAATAGGAGCCCACAGGGAAACACTGGTGAAACCTCTCAAAGGAACTAAGGGGTGTTACTCTAAGAAGGTGACACGGCCAGCCACGCAGATGAAGTGCCTCTACACCAATGCATGCTGCATGGGCAACAAACAGGAGGAGTTGGAAGCCACTAGAAAGCTACAACCTGGTTGCCATTACTGAAACTTGGTGGGATGAAACCCATGACTGGAGTGCAGCTATCAATGGCTCCAGGCTGTTCAGAAGGGACAGGTGAGGAAAGGAGGAGCAGAGGCATTGCCCTCTAAATCAGGAAATGGATGGAATGTGAACAGCTGTCTCTGAAGAACAGCCATGAGCAGATTGAAAGCTTACGGATAAGAATTAGAGAGACCAAGGCAACAAAGGGAACCTGGTGGTTGGGGTCTACTACAGGCTGCCTATGGATGAAGCCTTCTTACTCCAGCTACAGGAGGCTTTGCGCTCGCAGGCTCTCATCCTGCTGGGGACTTCAACCACTCCGACATCTGCTGGGAAAGTAGCACGGCAAGCTGTAGGCAATCCAGGGGACTCCTCGAGTGCATTAATGATAACTACTTAAGCCAGGTAATAGACAGCCCTACCAGAAAAGATGCAACACTGGACCTGATGATCACCAACATAAGTGAGCTAATCTGTGACGTCAGGACTGGAAGCAGCCTGGGCTACTGTGATCATGCACTGCTGGAGTTCACAGTCCTGAGGCAAAGTGTAAAGTCAAGACCCTGAATTTTAGGAAAGCAAACTTCTAGCTCTTCAAGGAGTTAGTCAATAGGACCTCCTGGGAAACTGCCCTCAGGGACAAGGGCACAGAACAGAGCTGGCAGATCTTTAAGGACACTTTCCATAAAGCACAAGAGCTCTCAATCCCCAGGTGTAAGAAATCAGGAAAGCAAGGCAAGAGACCGGGATGGCTGAGTCAAGACCTGCTGGGCAAACTAAAGGGCAAGAAAGAAATGCACAGGCAGTAGAGGCAGGGACAGGTATCCTGGGAAGAGTATAGGGATGCTGCCCAGTTGTGTAGGGATGAGGTCAGGAATGTCAAGGTGCAGCTGGAACTGCACTTGGCAAGGGATGCAAAGAATAGTAAGAAGGGCTTTGTATTGTGTCTGTCTGAGATGGAGTTAATTTTCCCTCATCGTGCTGTGCTGTGCTGTGCAGCGGTGGCTAGAAGGGTGCTGATAAAACACTCGTGCTTTGGCTACTACTGAGCAGGGCTCACACAGCATCAAGGCTGTCTCTCCAACATCCTCCCCAGTGGACTGGGGGTGGGCAAGATCGTGGGAGGGACACAGCCAGGACAACTGACCCAAACTGAGCAAAGGGATATTCCATGCCATATGGCATCTGCTCAGCAATATAAGCTAGGGAAAGGAGGAGGAAGGGAAGGCATTCATTTTTATTTGTCTTCCGGAGCAACTGCTACACATGCTGAAGCCCTCCTTCCCAGGAAGTGGCTGGACATCTCCTGCTGATGGGAAATAGAGAACAAAATCTTTTGTTTTCCTTCACTTCCGCCTTTGCTTTATTAAATTGTCCTTATCTTGACCCATGAGCCTCTTGCTGTATTTTCTCTCCCCTGTCCAGCTGAGGATGGGGAGTGATAGAGTGGCTTTGGTGGGCACTTGGCATCGAGTTAGGGTCAACCCACCACAGGCTTCTACAGGTATGTCAACCAGAAAAGGAAGGTTAGAGAAAGCATACCTCCCACGACGAGCAAGGCTGGCAAGCTGGTAACAACAGTTGAGAAGGCTGAGGTACTCAGCAACATTTTTTGCCTCAGTCTTCACTGGAAACCTCTCTTCCCACACCTCTCAAGTGGATAGGCTGCAAGACGGGGACTGGGGGAGCAAAGTCCCTCCCACTGTAAGAGAAGATCACGTTTGTGACCACCTGAGGAACCTGAAGATACACAAGTCCATGGGACCTGACAAGATGCATCCCAGAGCCCTGAGGGAATTGGTTGATGTAGTTACCAAGCCATTCTCCATGATATTTGAAAAGTCATGACAGTCAGGTGAAGTCCTTGGCGACTGGAAAAAGGGAAACATCGCACCCATTTTTAAAAAGGGTAGAAAGGAGGGCCCTGGAAACTACCAACCTGTCAGCCCCATCTCTGTGCCTGGGAAGTTCATGGAACAGATCCTCCTAGAAGCTGTGCTAAGGCACATGGAGGACAGGGAGGTGACTGAAGACAGCCAGCATGGCTTCACCAAGGGCAAGTCCTACCTGACCAACCTAGTGGCCTTCTACAATGGAGTGACTACATCAGTGGACAAGGGACAAGCAATGGATGTCACCTATCTGGACTTCTCTAAGGCCTTTGACATGCTCCTCCACAACATCCCTCCCTAAATGGAGAGATATAGATTTCATTGGTGGACTGTTCAGTGGACGAGGAATTGGTTGGACAGTCACATCCAGAGGATAATGGTCAACGTCTCAATGTCCCAGATGGAGATCAGTGACAAGTGGGTCCATACTTGGACCAGTGCTATTTAATACCTTCATCAATGACACAGATGGTGGGATCGAGAGCACCCTCAGCAAGTTTGCAGATAACACCAAGCTGAGTGGTGCAGTTGACATGCTGGAGGGACAGGATGCCATCCAGAGGGACCTGAACAAGCTTGAGAAGTAGTCGTGTGTGACCCTCATGAGGTTCAACAAGGCCACATGCAAGGTCCTGCACCCAGGTCGGGGCAACTCCTGAAATCAATACAGGCTGGGGGATGCAGGCATTGAGAGCAGCCTTACCGAGGAGGACTTGCTGGTGGACAAGAAGTTGGACATGAGCTGGCAATATGTGCTTACAGCCCAGAAAGCCAACTGTATCCTGGGCTGCACCAAAAGCAGTGTGGCCAGCAGGTTGAGGGAGGGGATTCTCCCCCTCTATTCCGCTCTGGTGAGACCTCACCTGCAGTACCGTGTCCAGCTCTGGAGTCCTCAGCACAAGACAGACCTGGACCTGTTGAGGCAAGTCTAGAGGGGCCCTACAAAAATAATCAGGGGGCTGGAGCACCTCCCCTATGAGGACAGGCTGAGAGAGTTGGGGTTGTTCAGCCTGGAGAAGAGAAGGCTCCAGGAAGACCTTACAGCAGCCTTCCAGTACCTAAAGGGGGCCTATAAGAAAGATGGGGGCAATCTTTCTAGTAGGGCATGTGATAGGACAAGGGGTAATGGTTTTAAACTAAAAGATGGCAGATTCAGACTAGATATAAGGAAGAAATTTTTTACACTGAGGCTGGTGAAACACTGGCACAGGCTGCCTAGAGAGGGGGGGAGAGTCCCTGGAAACATTCAAGGTCAGGTTGGACAGGACTCTGAGCAACCTGATCCAGCTAAAGGTGCCCCTGCTCACTGCAGGGGGATTGGACTAGGTGGCCTTTAAAGGTCCTTTCCAACCCAAACCATTCCGTGATTCTACGAAATTTGCTTCTTTGGTTCTCGGTCAATCACCTTTCCTTTGTATTCACAGCCACTTAACAGCGTTCAGGACTGGAAATCCACATATCCACTTTTCCCCATTTTTATTTCCCTGGTAACAGCACCTGAGGGGAACCAACACAGCAACAGGTACCATCTTTGCCATGTACCAGGCAGGAGCAGGGGAAAAGGAGGAGGAGGTGTAGATCAAAAGCACACATACCGAAAAGGAAAAAGTTTTCCATGCTCATGTAGCAGATGTAAGTATGTCTGCAGTTCAGTGTGCAATGAACACACCTTGAGAAACACCAGAAATTGGGGAGTAATTCCTCTCTTTCAACTTAGACCACATTGACATTCCATGGACAACTCCAAGCGGTGAACATCAAGTATCTAGGGGATCTCAGAGTCCTGTCACACAGATGCAATTTTGGCACTGTTCTATCAAAAGCTGCATTCACGCTAGAAGTGGCAGTTCAGCACAGATGGAGCTCTGAGTGACCACATGGCTGATACCCAGCATCCACGCACTGCACACGAGAGCAGCATGTGGTCATTTAAACCTCAGGTCATACTTTGATGCCTTGCTTCATCTCCCTGATTTGTTGTAACAGGTCTGTGTGGCAAGGTTTTGGTAGCGGGGCGGGGGTTACAGGGGTAGCTTCTATATGAAGCTGCTAGAAG